TAAACGGAATTTTAGTTCTGCAAATTGGCATTCAAAACAAGGGGAACATAAAATCTGAAATGGAAGAAACAGCTCACTTATAGTAGTGTTATCTAGTAGTATGATTATTTCTGTGTCTTGATTTGATTTGTATATGTATATATATATATATATATATATATATATATATATATATATATATATATACATATATACATATGTGTATATATATTTATATGTGTGTATGTATACACACACAGATATATATATATATATATATATATATATATATATATATATATATATATATATATATATATATATAATATATAATATATATAATATATATGTGTGTGTGTGTGTGTGTGTGTGTGTGTGTGTGTGTGTGTAACACATTCTCTCTCTCAAACAAACATACATATACATATATATATATATATATATATATATATATATATATATATATGTATGTATGTATGTATGTATATACATATATATGTATATATACATACATACATATAAACACACATATATGTGTGAGATTGTATACACGTTTACTGCGTCTCCTCAGTCCTTCTTAGGTCGACAGGCGGTCAACCTTAAACTGTCCCGAATTTTCCGGAGAAATCCTCTTTAACAGCACGTACATTAGTAAAGAAGGATAAATACTAATCTAGACAAACACCCACTCAGCACAGCCGCAGCTTCCCTAACCAAAAATAGCTTTGCAGTTTCATGCTCCCGCATTCCTTAGTGCCCCTCGGTGAAGTTATTAATACGTTTCTCAACTTTTACTGGAGATTTCATATACAGCCAACTATAGTGGTACACTTTACTTTTGTTTCACTTTTGAGTTTGTGTTTTTCAAAGTGGAGAAAGTTTGTTATTCGTGCAACCCTTGTGACATAAATAGATTTTATTGACAAAAAGTAAGAAAATAACATAACATTTCAAACTATAGACACATATCACGCCATAGTACTACACTTCAATCCTGTCACTTTCAATCCATAAAATAATAATAATTATTATGATGATACTACTACTACTTATAAAAATAATGATAAAATATATAAGTGCTAATGACATCATAATAATAACAACAATAATCATAATAATAATGATAATGATAATAATGATACGGATGATGATGAGGATAACAATAGCAACATTAATAATAATAATGATGAAAACGATAATAGTGGTAGTAATAGATTTTAAAGAAATACATTGCCTGGAGGTTAATAGTATCGGCAACTTATTCCGCTTCGCACATTCATACATACACAGCCGCAAATTAATGTTCTGGCTAAGATAATTCTTCTGTTTAAAACTCCTTCGTGATAAGAAGAGCACTGCTATTTGACGATTAGGTAAGGTAGGGCAACGTTGATTGAAATATGGTGGAAAGTCTGTAAACAAGGATAGTTAAGAAGAGATGATTTTGCGGTGGTGGTTGGCGGGACAAGTGGTGCGTCTGGCTCGCCTCCCATCACCTGCGGCGGCGGCGGCTGGGCACCAACACGTGCTCTGATGACACAACGCCGGAAGTGGTGCCGCACGCTCTCAGACTTTTAAACATTATCTGACGCAGGCGAAAGCATACTTTTTTCGGTTTATTTGATAATGTAAGAGCTGGCTTAAATGCCTGATTTGGTTTTAAATGTTATTTCCTGTGGCGCCTTCATGCAGTTCGGTCACATTAACATGTGAACACGTTTCTTCCATTACATACAAATTGCAGTGCCGGAATTATACTGCCTTTCGCTTTTGTCTCAGGGTCACAGATACATATTTATCTAACCTAAGGCTGTAGTCTTTTCCACATTTCCTCCTACGCCTATAGTTTTATGCGTTCTAATAAAGTCTTTAAGTTTAGTATTCTTATTAATTTTTAGATTAGTCAAAAACAAGATTTTTAGGAACAAGATAACATTTATGTGGTTGTATCTGCATTTGAGTATTCGCAGAAGTCAAGAAAGAGAAAGTTTCCACATATTCGCCGTATAAACCTTTTTTGTGCGAAGGACGTATGATATACAGGGATATGTTAAAGTGCAAGTTGATAAGCACTATCGGCAAGGGAGGTTTTTACGACCGCAAAGATTCCCCTCAGAAGCGCCTTAATGGCAAAAGGAGGGTGGTAGAAGCTCGCTCTGCACCTCCGATAAAAAACCTTGAACAGCCGTGCTTCTTTCTTATCTGCTTTGAAAATAAAGGTTCTGTGGTCTTTTCATTCTTTTGAAGGACGCGACTAGGGGATATATGTCCGATATCTTTATTAGTCTGTCTGTTGTACATTACATGGCTAACCCAATCGACTTAACCTTATATTTCTATCCTCTTTCTCTTATTCCTCTCTTTCTCTCCCTCTCTCTCCCTCTCCCTCCCCCCCCCCTCTCTCTCTCTCTCTCTCTCTCCTCTCTCTCTCTCCTCTCTCTCTCTCTCTCTCTCTCTCTCTCTCTCTCTCTCTCTCTCTCTCTCTCTCTCTCTCTCTCTCTCTCTCTCTCTCAATATAACTGCACTCAGAGGTTAAAAGTGTTCAGATGTAAAAATTTGTATCTATGTGTGCGTTTTATAAATGAATATGTATATGTAAACGAAGATATGCACACACACTCACACACACACACACACACACACACACACACACACACACACACACACACACAC